TAATCGTTTTGATATTATTGTCTAGTTTAGCATCATCTCTGGTGATGATAGTTATGATTTGATTTTGTAAATAATTATGATAAACTCATTTAAAAACCAATAAATTATTCAAAATATTAAATTGAGTCAATAAGTATCTAATTTTTCATGGATTATTGAAACTAACCATAAAAAACCGGTAAGTTACTATAAATTCTAAATTAAATAAAAAATTCATTAAATATTCTTGATAAATTTCAACTATCAAAATTCGAATTTTCTTTGTTTTTTAATTATGTAACAAAAAAAAATTACTTTTATTTTAACAAGGTGGATGTTTTTACTAACAATACAAGGTTGTCAATTATAAATGATGGGTCAAGCTCAATAACAACTGTTGCATCCATTCCACCATTCTTTACAAAAGTTTATCATATCTTCTTGTTTACAAAAAGTCTCCTTGAAAAGATTAATCAATAAATTGAACTTAACATTGAATTCGATGTTGTTCATTACTAGCGATAATTATCAGACACAACTTTAGAAAAATTAATAATTATTTAATTTTTATTAAATAAAAAAAAAGTAAAACTAAAATTAAGAGACACCTGTCAATTTTATGACATTAAAGTTAGCAGTCACTTGATCATTTTTTTATTTTTCTTACAAACAAATTGGTTTGGAAAAATTATTTTTAAAAAATTGCATTTTTAATTTATAAAAATTTTTACATGTCAATTTTTTTTTTAATTTTTTTGCCATAATTTATTGGCACTAAAATTATTAAAATTATTAAATATCTGCTAAATTAATTTTCATATCAATTTTAGAGGTTGTATTTGTAAAAAGAGACTTACTAACATTTTTAATCTGAAAAAATATAACTAATTAAATTTTTATTGAGAAATTATTACAGAGAAAAAAATAAACAATAATAAATAATAATCGATTTATAATAAATACTATTTAAATAATAATAATAAAAGCTATGTGAATGTCTAAAATGTTTAAGTATAATAATTAATAATTCCAACTTTATCTAATGTTTATCATTTTGTTCTTTAAAGATTATAGGATCATTTCTAAAAATTATCAAGAAAGGTAACTAAATTTCTATAGTAAGAATTTAAAATTTAATGTTGTCAACATTAATATTTACTAGATGAAAAGGTAAATTTTAACCGCAACTATAAAAACAAGTTGACTTATAGTCCAGGAGGAATCGGCGCATGAGTACCGAAAACTATTCCACCTCAATTTTTTTATGCAATCCTCTTCAAATTGCCCTACTGATGATATAAATGCATGTTGCCATGGGGCAACCCGGTGCCATATTGTTTAAACCAAAATTGTTTAAACAATTGCAAGGAATTGTTATTTTTCAACCGGACAAATTTTTTTTATATTCTTTGTTGAAATAACAATAAAAAAGGTCCTATAACTTTTTTCGATAAAGTTAATATTTTCAAAGATATGAATTTTTAAAGGTTCGAAAAATCTCAAATTTGGGTACTTTCAACCCATGAAAAATATATTAAAAAAAAAAATAATGTATAAGTAAAATTTTTTTTTAAATTCTCTATACAATAGTTAATAATATTGTTAATAGAGATTTAAAAAAATTTCAATGTTTATATCTGTTTTTTAATTGTTAATTTCGCGCGCTTACAAGTATGCGTCGCTTACCTTTAAGTATCGCTGTCTCTCTCTGACTCATGCGTTGCATCGGCCTCTCTGTGTCTTGAATCATTATTTATCATTTATCTTAAAAACTATCAACTTTATCAAGATTGTTAAAGAAAGCAATGTTATTAATAATTAAATTTTCTACAATTTGTTATAAATAAATTTTTTTCTGAAATCAATTTTTCAAAAGTTATTTAAGCAAAAATCGGAACATGTAATTAATAGTATATTTTATTTGTTTATATTACTTTTTTGTAATATTATAAGTGGTAAGGGGTTGAAAGGTTTAGAAACCTTGTATTTTAATATTTTAGATAAAAAAGGTAGAACCGCGGATGAAGCTATTAGACAAATAATTTTCCCTCGTTGCTTTGATACTAATATTAATTTATCTAAAATTCCGGGCACATCAGATGCCTTGCAATTGCATGCACTTCGAGATTTTGCTCAAACATACATTTGGAAAAATGCATTGAATCCCCAAGATGAAACATTTGAATTTACGAATTTCGGCTACAAATTAAAGAATGGTACTTTGCTACCTCTATTTATCAACAAAAGCCCATTCCCAACTAATTAGTTGCATACTTCTATGTGATTGTGATTCAGAAGACTGTGGCTGCCCAATTTCAAAACACAGTAATTGACAATTTTAAGATTTTTTTAAATTTTTCTTATTAAAAAAAGTTTGCGCACCTACCTAATTGATAAAAAATTTTATATATGAATAAAAAGTACTTGAATATAAATATTTTTAAGAAAAAATATTAAAAATTAAGGTCAAAAAGTTATGATAAATGCAGCCATACTAAAAAAAATTAGGTATAACAATTTAGCTTTTAATGTGTTTTAAAGTTGGGCGGCCGACTGTAAGAATATAATATATAAAAATGATGTTTATAATGAATGAATAATTATTTTTAAATCTTGTTTTATTATTTCATACTTCTCCATCTATAACCTTCGTTTGAAGAAGTTATTCAATGTAATTAAGGTAAAAGACCCAGTTATTGACACTTACAATTTTATTTTAGTTAAAAAAAAAAAAACAAATCAATTCTAATAAATTAATAAATATAATTTTTGAATTATAAATTTTAAGATAATTGGTTTTTTGAGAACATTTCATTCCTTTAATTAGAATAAAATTGCAAGTGCACTGGTAGAAGGATTTATTTGTACCAAAAAATATTTATTAATAGTTAACAATTAAATCATTTATTAGAGACCACTTTTTAGTATTAAACAAATATTTCTTAGTATTTAAAATGATTTGTTTGTATTTAATAAATCTGATATTAATTTATTAAATATTAAATTGATTATACTTGTTAAGGACTAAAAAGTGATCTCTAATAAATGATTTGTTTAGTAACAAATTGTAGAAAATTTAATTATTAATAACATTGCTTTCTTTAACAATCTTGATAAAGTTGATAGTTTTTAAGATAAATGATAAATAATGATTCAAGACACAGAGAGGCCGATGCAACGCATGAGTCAGAGAGAGACAGCGATACTTAAAGGTAAGCGACGCATACTTGTAAGCGCGCGAAATTAACAATTAAAAAACAGATATAAACAATGAAATTTTTTTAAATCTCTATTAACAATATTATTAACTATTGTATAGAGAATTTAAAAAAAAATTTTACTTATACATTATTTTTTTTTTTAATATATTTTTCATGGGTCGAAAGTACCCAAATTTGAGATTTTTCGAACCTTTAAAAATTCATATCTTTGAAAATATTAACTTTATCGAAAAAAGTTATAGGACCTTTTTTATTGGTATTTCAACAAAGAATATAAAAAAAATTTGTCCGGTAAAATCTGTCCGGAAAAAATTTGTCCGGAAAAAAATTTGTCCGGAAAAATAACAATTCCTTGCAATTGTTTAAACAATTTTGGTTTAAACAATATGGCACCGGGTTGCCCCATGGCAACATGCATTTATATCATCAGTAGGGCAATTTGAAGAGGATTGCATAAAAAAATTGAGGTGGAATAGTTTTCGGTACTCATGCGCCGATTCCTCCTGGACTATTATTACTTTTTACTGTTTGAAATCATAATTTTTAATAAGTGACAATCTGATACTTATGATAATAAATGCTACAAAACACTTTTTTCAATATTAATTTATAAATCTTGGCTTTTGTTCCTTTTAACATTATGCTTTGTAATATTCAATATTATGCGATGTAAATTTTGTAATACAGCTTTTTTCCGTGTATGGAGAGAAATTTTATGATACCTAAATTAACAAACATGTAACAATTTTTTTATTTTTTGTTACTATTCAATTATTATGAAAAATATTTTTTTAAAAAATTCTACCTATAAAAATTGGAATAAATTATAAGTGCAAATATTTAAAAATATTTTATTTATTATAATTGATTTGATATAAAAATTCCAAAAATTGTCAAATGTCTGCTGATTTCTATTGATATCACGAAATTTTGACTTGACCTTTCTCGGCTATAATTTTTTTAATTTTCCGCTAAAATTTTTGAGAATAATTGGTTTCAATTCTGAAATTTAATTAGTTTAATTCCTTACAAACTGCGATGAACTATTAACCAGCTATATCACTCATTGTCTTGAAAAAACAGCAAAGAATAGTGAAAATTTAAAATGAAATGATTCGGTGCAAAAATATTGCTATCTAAAAATTTATATAAAAATCATATGCACGCATTGCAATTGATTTTTGCAAATTTTTGAACTTGGATGGATGAATAAAGAAAATAAATTTTTTTATTTCGATCATGCCGTGTTGAAATATTAAGTTTGTCTACAAAAATCATTTTCTTTTAAGATATTATATTTTAAATATTTTAAGTTTGTTTTATTCTGAAAGTAAAAGTTCCTTTTTGAGTAACATTAGGTGAACACATTTTTACCCTTGAAAAAGGTTTTATTTTATTATTTCGGAGAAGTATAGTTTAAAGTACTCGAACTACAAGTCATAAAAACAAGGTACAATTCGAGCACTGTATAGACTGCACAAACACTAAATGTTTTACTATATAAAAAGACAACTGTAGTAATATAGTTGTAAGAAGTTAGTTTTCTCTGATCCTTAATGGTGTTCAGAGACACTTCCGAAAACTCTATTTCAATAAATGAAAATCTTCCAATAAATGAAAACCTTCATTCATTCTAAAATAATACACCGTCATTTATATCCATAATCCCAACATGCCGATTTATATTTATGAATTTTTCTATTTAAACCTATCTGTGATACTTATAATTTCATTATTACATACTTAAATTTATTTCTTACTCTAAACTCTGTATTATATTTACTTTTTTTTTTTTTTTAGAAAACACTTATTTTTATAACAATGTTGTCCAATGTTAATAACTATTGCTGTTTTAATTTAAAAAGCGGAGCGTTAATACTTGGAATTTTGGAAATAGTAAGTAAAAAGATTTGCATCTCTTTTAATAATTATCATTTTGTAAATAGTATTTTATCATTATCTATTTTTTCAGGTACTTACAACATGTATTATTATTGTCATCGGTATTGACATAATTTATCAAGGAATTTTCACCGCATCAGCATGTTCTCCGTTGCTGCTTATAACAAGTCCAGGATTATTATATTTATATATTCCCATTTGTTTTTGTTCCTTACTTCTATCATTTTTAATGATTTGGGGTTCGATAAAGGTATTTATTTAAAATTTTAATTACACTAGAATAGAATTTGAATTTACGCGCGCAAGCGCGCGCCTTGACTATAGAGTTTGCATATATTTTCATGCTTATAATATATTCAACCAATCACGTTACGAATAGTTTGATGCCACATACATTTCATCTCAATTTTATTATGGGATTTATTATTTATAAACTGTTTCCTAGTACACAGATAAAAAGAAAAATCTTGAACAAAGAGGAAAATTTTTTTGAAATTTCTTCTTGAACAAAAGCCGAAATTTTGATGTGATTAAAATGAAAAATTATCGACTTTATGGAAGAAATTATTTTATCGGTATAAAAAATTGATTCTTTAAGCCAAAAAAAAAACCCTCTTGGTACAAGATTGTCGTCGTCTTGAGTAGAGACGAAATTTTTGAAGAAATGAGACGAAACGCTCATTCATTTTTTAAGAAAGAAATTAATTGTGTAATTGATTTAAAAAAAAAAATTATAATTAAGTAATTTCTTACAGAATATTTTTTATTTTTTTTCCAAACATCGGCGCCCTTTTTTCTTGTCATATGCGCACGCAGTCTAAAAAAATCTAGCTTGATTAAGTGGCGCCATAGTTTTCACATGGCAAATAAGAAACGTCCGTTTGTCTTTGTACGGTTGTACCGTAGTAAATTTTAATGAAAATTCAATTTAAAAAAAAAATACGTAATCTAGGCTACTGATATGAAATACGGACCCAGTTCATCGTATTCTTAAACTAATAAAAAAGGTCCGGTCTTGAAATATCAATTTGTTCGGGAATAATCGTTGGTACATCCAAAATGGGGTGACATTCGGACGTCCACGTAAAATTTTTTTCAAAACGTTTTTTTTTCAATATAGCAACATGAAATGATTTTAGAAAGTAAAAGATGGTTTAATTTATGTGTTTTCTCGGTATATATTTATTTATATTATTGTATAAAAGTAATATGGTTGTGATAGAGGCATTCAAAGATCACAAAATTGCTTGACTTTAACGAGTCGAGTATAAAGCACAACCTCACGCGTTTCGTGCTGTGAGGCGTGCAAAAGTTGACTTGAACCTAGAAAAAACATTCTTGGCTCCAAAATTTTTCTCTTGAATCGTCAACTTTTTTATCCGTGTAGTATTCTTGGTTTAAGTAAGTAAAATTCTTCACTGATGAAAAATGTTCACTAAATAAATAAACCCAAGTTTTTTGAATTAGTAATTTTACAGTTCAATGAAGTACGGAGATTTTATTAGCCTAAAATTTTTTTTTATCTTAAAATTTTATAATTCTAAAAATTATTTACTTCATTCAATAAATTTTCGAATTATCTTCCATCCCCGAAAAAATTTCTTCAATCAAGAGAAATTATCATAAATCAAATTTTTTTTTTATTAGGTCATTTTCATACAATAACAAATAATTCATAAATAGTAAGTTATGTTAAAAAGTACTTAATACTCGTTTACACTAAACTAATCAACAAAATTCAACAACAAACGCTCTTTATTACATAAATCAATTACGAAGTGCTAAATTGCATGGAGCATTGTGCAATGATTTGTTGGTATTTCTATTCAGATAGCTATTTCCGATCAATAAGCATAAAATGAACCATTTTAGTAGATTTGAATTGCTGATACGATTCGCTAGTTATGATAAATTCACTACGAAACCAAGATCACACATTCAAGCTGATAAACGAGTGGGCAAAGCGAACCAGGTTTATTTGTGAATGAAATAAATCGTATAGACAAATGCTGCCAATTTAAACTAAAAGTTTTCTCGTTTTGACGATAATGTAATGTATCGAAGATCATTCTTTACATTAAGAGTTTACATGGGTTTACTTCGAAAAAAAAGGCATGTTTTCAACACTTTTTTTTTTACATAAATAATAAAATTTTTTATTCAATCTTTTTGTTAAATTGAAGATACATATTTAATAAACATCGTCTAAAATTTTCGTAGAAAAATATTTAAAACTCAGCCATTGCGACATCTCTTCCGAAGATTCCTCCGAAAAAAAGGTCCTTTCGCGTTCACAGCATAACTAATGACAGGATCATGAGAAATCGAAAAATCAAATTGGGTCTTTTATTTAATACCTAAAACTAGAATCTGAACGTTGGAAAAAAAAAAAATTGAAATTTGGATTCTTGGCAGAGTTAAAAAAAATTCAAATTTCTCTACAATTTGCACCACATTTTGATCTTTTAAAATAAGTTGCGATTTGAAAAACAAAAATCCTTCGTCCTAGTTCTTGTCAGTAGTATCTTAAAGACGTGTGCCAAATTTCATCAAGATAAGTTTAATAGTTTTTTTAGTGAATTCTTGACAATGCCGACTTTAAAAATACCGTTTCCCACGAGAACCAAATTTCCAAGGCTCTATCTCCTAAACCCTTACTCCAATCGACTTTAAAATTTAGGACAATTATCTAGACATGTAGAATTAAAAAAAAAAAACCCCGATTTCTTGAAACTTTTAAGCCCATGTAACTTCTTAATCAGGAAATTATGAATTAAGAGAACAAATAATCGTAAATTTTGATGACAAAATTTTGTATTTCATAATATAGTGATAAGGTATACGGTGTGTTGAATTATTAGTTGGCTAGAAACTAAAATATTTATAGGAGTAGGTGAATAGAGTATTATTAAAAATCTGAGCGAATAAGTGAAGAAATATACAGATGAAAAAAAAGACATCTTCAATATAATACACAGAATAAAAAATTTACTTCAATCAAGTAAATAATTTTGAAGAAACGTCATTTTCTTGATTTGAGTAGAAAAATTCTTAAACTAAGAAATTTCTCTTAGTTTATGAAAATTTTACTTGATTTCAGAATTTTTCGTCTTGATTCAAGTTAATTCTTTCTTCAATGTACGCATATTAATATGTACGAAAATAAATGGAAAATATTTCGTGAATTGAGTGATTTGATGTTTTCAAAAAATTAGTTAGTGAGTATTTCTTACAAAGAAATTAGAGACAATGGCCCCGTTCAAGTTTACTAAGCTCTTGGCAAGTTTATTAAGCTCTAAAAGTGACTACATTCCCTCTAAAGAACATCTATAAGAAAACAATGCAAGGTATATACTAATCTAAGCTCAGTCCAGCTAAGTAAACTTGAACGAAGCCAATGTAAAGCAATTTTTTAAATCAAACTTTTGTGGATTATTTTAGCAACTACTTTCATGTTTATGATATTTTATCTAAATTTCAATTATTGTTATTAACTAATAATACCACTATAGAAAGAGGATAAAAAAAAAAAGGGATGAGATGTGTCGTTGGGTACTCAATTGAAATGAATTTCCTTTCGCTGTGTATAAAGTATTAAATAATAGGCAAAATCAAATAAATTAACAACAATTAATAGTAATTTAATAAAATATTAATAATAGTTGTTGTCAAGTAGTTTCATAAATCACAAGTTAAGACGCTCAAAATTATACACTTTATTCGGCCTAACTTTCATTGACAAACATGCGATAAGGAGCTTCGTTCCAAAAATTATAACTGTAACTTTTTAAAAATCCACAGGTTAGCTTCAATACTTCCAAAATGAGATATTTCGGACCAATTTGAAGTTGAGTTGGTGGAATTTTCTTCGAGCTATGGCTATTAGTACCTTGTTACTTAGCATAAGCTTTTACTGATAATTTAAGTTTTTGATGTTTACTAGATTATTTTTATTTTTAAGAACTGCTAACTGTATTATTTTATATTTACAGGACAACTTTGCCTTAATGATGCCTTATGTTTACTACCGAGTTATCATTTTGATGCCATATTATCTTCAATATTTTTATAATGCAATTAGAATTTTTGTTGCGGAGGACTGTAATACAGAGAGCGCTTTTGTCCGGCTTACATTTGGAATATGTGGATTGGGTATGTTAAATTAATTTTTACTACTTTACTACCTTAAGAAGGTTCGCTACCGATTTTCATTTAATCTCAAACCTTTAAAATTTTCATTATCGAAAGATGAATATATCAACTGTCTACAACCATAATTTCAAATCGATTCACCACACCATTTCTGAGCAATTAATTTTTGAAATTGCTTTTTATACACGTCGAAGTATGGAGAGCCGATAAAGTTGGTATAAAACCTTTCAGAGTGCTTGCGCGATAAAATAGAAATCATACTAACCTTATCAGATCTCCTTACCTCGACGTGCATAAGAAACAATTTCAAAAATCAATTACTCAGAAACAATAAACTGTGAATTCTTTTTACAGTAAATTAGAGATATTTTTATTCATGCCTTTATCTACCAATTTTACACTCAAGAATGTTTTTTCTGTTTTTACTTTACAATTTCCAGTCTCGCATAGGAAACAATTCTACTATAAAATGTTCTGCTGTTAACTTGTCGCGAAAATTGAAAGTAAATGAATTTTAGAAGCTCTAAAGTGAGTTCAAAGAAAAAAACTAAATTCAAATGACATAATGAAACTAAAAAGAATAATGTTAACTATAAAGAGAGCTTAAAGGAAAGATTAGACTCCTAGACGAACCCAAAGAAATGACTGCCGCCTAAAGCGAGGAGCTTAGAGAAAAAAATAAAACTCAGAACGATAATCAAAGTTCTAAGGCGAGTTGAAAGGAAAAATAAGCTTAAGTAAAATTGAGCTCAATTTTTTTCGATTAAACTAGTCTCCAACTCACATTATCTTTAAGCTAAATTTTATGAGCTCATTCCTGAACTCACTTAATACCAATGCGCTACATTACATCGTTTGAAGCTGTTTTTATTTTGAGCTCATTTCAGAATGCGCATAACACATTTCCTTATGTAACATATGTTGCGGAAAAAAGTTGCCGCATAAAAAAGTTGCGGAATTTCTCTGTTTATTCCACAAAGAAATCCTCAGGAATTCATATTTTGACACAAATATGAATTCCATAAGAATTCAGAATGGAATCATAGAAAATGATCATTGTTAGAAAATTAATAAAGTAGAAATATGTATACACGAAATCATTATGTTTTGATTAATTAATTACAGATTTTTCAAGATTTCTCGGAAAATTCCGGAAGAATCTCGGTGAAAACTCTGCGGAATTTTTCTAAAATATTTGTGGAATTGAGACTAGAGGGTAGACTATCAGAGTTCCGCAAAATTTTCTCCGGATTTTCTTGAGAGTCCTTGAGAAGTCTGTAATTACTAAATCAAAATATCATGATTTTATGAATTTATATTACTATTTTATTAATTTTCTATCAATGATCATTTTCTATGATTTCATCCTGAATTTCTCTGGAATTCACATTTTGACACAAATATGAATTCCTCAGGATTTCTTTGCGTAATTCCGGAGGAATTTCGCAACTTTTTTATATGGGATATGTTTAAAATTTTTATTCCACCATTGGAATTATTACTATGCAAAATTGGAAAAATAGCTTATTTTCTTCTATGCATGTTTTACTATATGACAATTACAACTTGTAGTTGAGTAAATTCCAATTTTACTTTTATGATTTTTTTTAGCACTTGGTATTCATTTCTGCATGGTTATATATCATCACAGTAAGGAAATTAGAAATGAAAAATCAAACAATGCCAATAAATCAATGTATTAGTATTATGACTGTTGAATAAAATATTTTTAAAATAACATGTTCTCATTATTTTTTTTTTAAAAAAAACAGCTAAACAAATTTCAATTTCAAATCCATAAAACTTTATAATCTAAAAGCGTAGTGTGTATGACAAAAAATTTTTCAATGTGATAGCAAATATCGTAAAAAGTCAACAGTAAGGTGCTAGAAAGAATATTGACATCTTGGTTGCATAAAATCCTTTTGTAATATTATAAAGTTTATATCTGCTTTTCGATTTACCTGAACTTTTGTTTATTTTATATTATTTTTTAGTAATTATACAGTTAATAATTTTACTGTACTTTTCGGATAGACGAAGAATATATATAAAATGAAATATAGCCAGGCCTATGCACAGATGATTTAATCATCTGTAGTGATACCTTATATATATTTTCTAGTAAATAAGTCGATAAATATGCAAACAATTTTGTGGCCATTTTCTATGAATGACGATTAAACTCTTTTTGAGTACTGGCTGTCAATGCATGACTGGGTCATATGATCTTGTAATTATAAGCTGCATATATAACATCAATTTTCTATGAACTAACGGTTGTTCCTATGTGTCTTAAGGGTATAGTCTAGTTAGTCACTGTCGAAAATTTGATTTTTTTACATTTTTCGAATGTATATGTATCTAAAAATTCCTCGCAGATTAAATTATGGTAAAATTTTTTTTATTTAAAGAAATTTAAAATACGTTTCTCTCAAAACTAGGTTTTGACAAACGGCCAACACGATTCCTCCGGAATCTGTGAGCCGATCCTTCTAAAATTTTATCCACATATTTTACACATGAATACTCACAAAATAGACTACTATCCATTGTCATGGTACAATATTGTCAAAAAATTAGAGATTATACGCGCCGCAAAAGTATAGGAGCTTGTAGTTAAGTAATCCATAATTTTTACGCAAGATTGTACCCGCGGAGAGGCAACCCATACAATTGTTTCTGTCCGACTCTGTAGATATCTACTTTTTCATAAATTGTTGAACTTTAATCTATTATTTATAAATAACTAGACGGTCAAAAATTTTTTTTTAAACTCACAACAAATACATTAAAAGGCTGTCAGTTTTTGGAAGGTTTCTGACAATTAGTTTTTTATAACTAAGAAACTGGTACAGAACTGCAGAGAGCGTATGCAATCAATGTTAAATATCCAATTTTTAACCCGTTGAGGACACATGGGGTCCAGTGGACCCCAGGCGAACTTTAAGGCAATTTTAAATTTAGAAGGAGATTTATAAATGAGTCTTAGTGTGCAATCTGTTATCGGTCGTAACTTCAAACTTCAGAATAAATATATTTCTTTCAAACTTTATTAAATATTGATTTTTTTCTTTAAAATATATTGTTTTCCGAATAAAATGGCGTCGGTTTTTTTTCGATATCGTAAAAATCAAAATTTTTGCGACTTTTTTTATAAAAAAAGTTTAGTTTTTTTTTCTAAACCATTTTTTAGTATTTTTAAATTATTAGAAATTAAAAATAGCTAGTAGATATTTAGAGGGAATGTTATATTAAAGTTTGGTGCCAATTATAAGTCAATACATCACATAGGAAATGAATTAGAACTATTTTGCTGAGTGGGGTCTACTCAGGACCCCGTGTGTTCTCAACGTAATTTTTTCGACGTGTGTCCTCAACGGGTTAATTAAATTCATCTCGGGTTATAGGTGGTCAATCGATTTCAAATTTTTAGGGTAACTGTATCATCATGTCCTTAATAAGTATATAAAAATTTAGAATTTTCTGACGGTATGCCTTAACCACGACAATTACCTTAAGTACGAATTTTGTGTAAAAAAGAACTAATAAAAAAAGTTTTATATTTGTAATTTAAGACTCCATTTATCATCCTTAACAATTTTTATAAACATATGTTTCATAGCAAGCTTACGAGAAATTATCAAAAATCGCCTATTTTTTTAGCCGACGAACTGGACTACACCTTTATTAAGATTTTTAACCCGTATATTCAAATATTGTATTCTTTTGAAATTTAAACGTCGATTTGATTGAATACTTTGATTCAAGAAATAATAAAAGAAACATTCATTTTTAAAACTAATTTTTTAAGGAGGTCCTTTCGCCACCAATGTAAAATAAAAAATATTAGATTATGAGTAAATTCAATTTTTTTCTAATAGTTAAGGTCCTTATTTATCTAATAGTGAGGTTTAAATTATACTTTACCGGACAAATTTTTGAAAAAATAAAATTTTTAAATGTTAGTATTTGTTCAAAGTCTTACGAGAAAGTCAGACGTTTGCAGTATTTCTCGAATTATACTATCAGTCATAGATTAGATGAAGTAAAAAAAAACTAAAAATTAGATTTTCGAAATATTCAGGTTTCTTTTTTTACAATAAAATATATCAGTTACCGAGATATTTATTGAAAAATTAATATTTAAAAATCACAAAAAATTCTCAAGCAACCTACGTTAAAATGGAGTCAAAACATTTGGCAACGGTGCGTAGCGCGCGAGCTTCAGACCATTCAACAAATTCAAACTAATTTATTTATTTACACTGAATGTAAAAATTTAAACGTGGTTAAGGTTATATTGTGCAAATGAAAATGTAAACAACCGAAGAACAGCGTTGCCAAATCACGGACAGGTTACTAGCAGCTGATTTGAAAGAATCAAATTAATTTTTGTATTTAACTAATTTTTTTTTTATTTTCAAAATTTCAACGACTAATGCCTCATATACTATTTATTATTCAATTTTAGGAATTTTTATGGGTTTCTTCTATTTATATATTTTAATAAATAAAAACAATAAATATTTTCAAGAAAATTCAAGAGAAAAATTCTTGAACCATTAAAATGATTTTAAAGAGTTGCTTTGCTTTAAATCAAGCAAAAAAAATCTTAAATTAGAATTAGTTCTTTGTTTAAATAAATTTTATTTGATTCAAGAATTTTTTATCTTAATTCAAGACGTTGAAATTATTCCCAATGATTTTCTTGGTTTAAGAATTTTTTTTATTCCAAATTGAAGAACTTTTGAATCTAAGATAAGTTTCAAAACAATAAGTTCCTGAAGCAACAGAGAATCAGTTACTTTTAAAGAAATTTTATTGGAAAAATTTTATTTTATTGCAAAAAAAGAAACCTGAATATTTTGAAAATCTAATTTTTAGTTTTTTTTTTTTTTACTTCATCTAATCCATGGCTGATAGTATAATTTGAGAAATACTGCAAACGTCTGACTTTTTCGTAAGACTCTGAACAAATACTAACATTTAAAAATTTTATTTTTTCAAAAATTTGTCCGATAAAGTATAATTTAAACCTCACTATTAGATAAATAAGGACCTTAACTATTAGAAAAAAATTGAATTTACTCATAATCTAATATTTTTTATTTTACATTGGCGGCGAAAGGACCTCCTTAAACGTGGTTAAGGTTATATTGTGCAAATGAAAATGTAAACAACCGAAGTACAGCGTCGCCAAATCACGGACAGGTTACTAGCAGTTGATTTGAAAGAGTCAAATTAATTTTTGTATTTAACTATTTTTTTTTTTTTATTTTCAAAATTTCAACGATTAATGCCTCATATACTATTTATTATTTAATTTTAGGAATTTTTATGGGTTTCTTTTTTTAATTTATCGTATATTGACTACTACAATTGTTTTGACTCAACTGGAGCGAAAGGATTTCCTTAATAAAATTTTGACAACTACCCGTTTTAAAATTAACTACAAATGCATTGGTTGTCAATTATGTTCATAAATTATTGCAAACAACTTATTAACAATGTAAGTAAAGTATTGGTATTAAGTTATTTATTGATCAGTTAAATATTTAACTTATGAATTATTAAAATTAATATACACGTATATATACATATTGATAAGTAAGAGAACGTGCATTATGTACAAGATGGAATGAAACTTCCTTATTTACATATCCGCTTCATCTTTGGATCACGATTGATTATGGCAAAGATACGATAGAAAATGTAGTAATTAAGTGAACAAAAATAACATTATAAGCATGAATTTGTTCATCTATTCTCTCACCACTTTATAAAGCTTTTGTACTCTTCATTAACACTAATACGTTTAATAGTTTCATATCCAATAATTATTGAGAAACTGAAACATGCTGATTGTACAAGTCTTGCTGATAAACCTTTCGAGAACATTTTGAAACCCTCTTCGATCCATAAAATTCTAAACGTATGACACATACTATCTAGGCGCTGAACTTGTAAACGTGCACGTACAATGTCCAGAGGATTCGTAATTATTGTCGTAGTAAAACCCCCAAAAGTTCCAGCTAACGATTGAATAAATAAATGAGACACCCAATTTGGTAAAATTCGTAACAATTCATCTAAAAAAAAAAAAATATTAAACATTAATTATAAAGAAAACTATACAATATCAATGAAATATTAAAAATTGAAATATTTCCAATTCTAGAGATTTAATTTTAGACAAATTTTTTTTATAGGTTCATTTATTATATAAAGGAATTATTCTACTTTGGACGCCTGAAAAAAACGATATTTCTATTAATTTTTTTTTTTTTTGAGAATACTTTATGTTTAATTATATGGGTGATTCTCTGTAAGGATGTTTTTTGCTGTCCCAGGCATTTTTTTATTAGAAAAATTGTTATTTTGTTACTAAAAAAAATTTATTATGAAAGTAAAAAAACATTTCTATTTGGAGCATTGAAAACTAAAATGAAATAAATTTTGGTTTTTTTTGCTATAAATTCGTAAACCACCGAAATAACAGTCCCCTGGGCTGTCCCATTCCCAAAATCAAAACTTTAAGATTAAATTTTAAGTTATTCGTCCTTAATATATAATTTGGTCCATAATGTTTATAAACTTAATTAGTTAACTAACAATCTTCTTCAATAAAAAGTACCGGAAATTATTTTGTTTCATTAAATTCATTAAACCAAAGTTTGTCCCAGGCATTTTAAGAACAGTTCCCTGCCAGAAGTTCAAAGCCAAAAAAAAAATCCAGCGTGTTATTTTACCTTTTGTAAGGTTTATAAGGATCTAACTAGCCTTGAGTTAATAATCATAGGGCTGTTAGCGCTTTATTGCCATTTTATTTAGTGTCAGAGCACCGTTTGTGCTGGAAATATGTGTCTGGACCACTTCAAAACTCAGTCCCCTGGCAACTATTTTTATTTATAAAACTGGATCCATAAGTCTTAATATTATTCTAATTAATGTAAACATTCATTGAGAAATTGAAAAGTTGAATGGATTGAAATAGTATGCTTGATTTTTCTCAATTTGATAAAAAAAAAAAAAAAAAAAAAAAAAAAAAAAAAAGAAAAAAAAAAAAAAAAAAAAAAAAAAAAAAACAGTCCCCTGGCAAACAGTTCCCTGTCATGTTAGATGGCAAAAGATACATAAATATCGAAAAAGAAAAAATTAAATCGGCTGTTTATTTATTATGATTAAGCTGATAGTTTTGTAGCCCTTGTTAATTTTTTTTCTAATAAAATCAAAGAAAATTTGGTCGGACAATTTTGTACAGATTTAAGACGTCCTTACAGAGAATCACCCATATATAACTTGTTTAGCTAAATAAAAACACTCATAAACTACAACAAAAAAATATTTTTTTGATTTTAAACACTTTTTAATTACAAAAACGACAATTCAACATGAGTTCTCGAAAAGTAAATAGGTCCGCGCAGTTGAAAAAATTTAAACAATGGTCCATGTTAAACAAAAAAGTCAAATAGTTTTAAGTTTATTATGACAATGGCTATATACTGTAGCATAAATATTTATTTTTATGCAAAAATAACAGAATATCGGTCAAAAAAAAAACGAAAAAGAAAAAGTGCGCTGTTTTTTTTTTCGTAATTTTTCGCTCGAAAACGTACAAAAAATATAAATTTTGCAATAATTCTGCTAGAGATATAGCAATAACTGTACAGAATATGCAGTTAAAATTTCATAAGTATCTGTTCAGAAGTTTCTGAGATTTTTTCAACAAGCGGTTCAGAAACGTTCTGATACACGCACCGGCTAGGATGAACAAGTGCGTTCAGGTAGTTAGTATTCAACATACGAAAAAGTATAGTTAGATTGCTCCAATCTTTCTAAAACTTTGTCATAATATTTTTGAATATTGTATTTACTTTCGAAAAATGCAAAAAAAAATTTTTAATTTTTCAAGTGTTAAAGTAGAATAACCCCTTAATTTAAGAAAAAAAATTTTTTTGAAGGAATAGTGTATAATCCAAAATTACCTTGATAGAAAGTGTATAAACCCCACCATAAAGCACTGTTAGGTACGTAAGCACATAATGAAGCCATATATCCACGATAAAATCCTTTTATACCATCTTTTTGATAAATTGATTTGATTATTTCACTGGTAACAAAAGCGCGTGACGATCCAAGTGTTAAATTTAATCCTAGTGGATTCATTGCCATCTAAAAAAAATTAATTGAATTAACATGCTTTATAAATAAGTAATTTATATTAGTTTGATAATCATAAATTATGGTAAATCAATAAGAATCCTAGCAGTAAGAGAAAATCAATCAGTGCAACAATAATTTAGATTTGAGAATCATCCATAAAACCAAAGTCGGGTATCTTCTTCAGCTTAACCGCGAGTCCGGACACTGCAACTACTAAAGTATTGAAAGCATTGGTTGAGGTCGAAAGATCTGATACCAATAGTCTAAGTCACGTTAGAAATCAAAGATACCGAATAGATTTTGTAGACTGTCCGTATAAAAGTCGGTTGGATTCTGCAACATCAGGAGTGCCAAAGAAATTCAAAGATGCTACTAATACCTTAGCTATAGGCACGGATTCAAGAATTGTGGTGAGACTGACCCTATCTGTGTTTCAAATGTAGCTGACTGCGATAAGGACTCCTTATGCTTGCTCTAACCTACTTTGAAAAAAGATAACATCAGCACAAACCACGTTCCTGGCACCGAAGTATGTACTGTATTTCAATAATAGTAGCCTGAATTGATAAGACATGACGACGAAAATTTTGCAAGGTAACCTTAGATAGAGCTGGACCGCGTTAGAAGTCATGTATTATATTAACACATTTATAAGACAGAAAATCGATACATGTACAATATCTGGAACAATTCTCTGACCAAGAGAAGATATTTTTAAATAAAACACAAACTTATCGATCTTAAGGATTTATTCGTAATGTAAGTACTTCTTTCACGTGACCATTAGCACACCTAATTCGTGGATATATTTTATGTAAAAAAGGTAATGCTCGTAAGAAACTACTATTTGCTATATATTTTACAATATTAGAGTAAAAAATTTCTCAAAACATACGATTTGTTGGAAATTTTTTGAGATGTAATAGATACTAATAAAATAATTAGGTATAAAGATATTCATTTTCAAAGTCAAATATACTTTTGGCTTTAAAAATAGAATTTTCAATTTAAAACCCTGCAAAAGTGCTCAAATATTCCTTTTCATGTTGAAAATAAATTATTGTAATTATCTAATTATAAAGCAATCAGATGAATTTTCAGTTGGTAAGGTCAGTCGATAAACTGATGATTTGAACGAAATTTAACAAAACAAGAATTGTAGTTTTTTTCAAGCTTTCCACTTTATTTATAGACATAAAAATTGTTAAACCAATAGTTTCAAAGAAAGAAATTTTTTAATTTGTATTTTCTTTTTTCACTTATAATTCATAAACAAATTGAGAGCGACCTTAGATATTTGTAACAATGCAACGCCAACATAAAAGAAATTGGTGAAATAAAAATCACAACGCCTTTGATTGTCAAACAGTTCTATAATATCTGAATCTGGGTCAGGTAATTAGAAGAATGACAAAAATCAACTCTACTACTACTTCAGAACTGCCAGAAGTCAATAAAAAGTGACAAATCAGACAGTAGATGACGTTTTGGAGTAAGCATATATAAAGTAAGAAGTAAGTACCTATAATATTCCAAGTTATTATATCAATTTTCATCAAAATTCAATAAGGATTCGTCAATCAATCCAACAAAAATAAAAAAAAAATAGCATTCAAATAACTGCTATGATTTAATAACACTGAAAAATTATGAGGCTTAATAACCACTTGGTAACAAACTGAAATCTATCTGTTGACGTAGTTTGGTAGCAGAATGACTACAAAAGTTGGAACGCACCATTTGCACCTCATTTACTTGCAAACTGCATGCAGATTGACAGAAACCATAAGGTATAAGTACTCAGTACTTGAACACTTATAAAAATGGAACCAGTACTTGAACAGACTTTTCGAATTGTTGTAATACAAAATCCATATATTTATTATGAGTAATATGCGCATGTTATAATCATTTAATAATACAGTAATTAATTTCTGTAAGTTTTTTCAATTATAAATCAAAACAAATATATTTTTATTAACTTAAAAGTTGAATCAGTAAAAAAACGGTATATCATCATTTTAAGTAAAAAAAAAATTGTAACACCCAATGAAATAGTCTTTTCTAAATGATACAATTTTTTTGCAAAGACATGAACTATAATTTTTTTATTTAATTTTAGCGTCTATCTATACCTCCAAATTTTCAAAGCGGTATCCAGAACTTGATCAAGCTGGGGCCGTATAATTTTAACAGCACTCAAACCTCTAATAGGTTCATAGACTAGTGATCAGCATTGTGATTTGTATTAATTACTGCAAATTAAATAAGTTTTATAGCTAAAAATTAGTGTAGTTGAAAATTATTGAACGTTTTGAATTGAGTTTTTTTTATTTATAATTGAAAATTTGCTTTGTCATTCATAAAACATGTAATTAAAAAATTAAATACAACTATTTCTCATTTTTAAATGAACATATTAAATATTCATAGTATTATTTTAAATATTAATCAATAATATGTTAAAATTCTTTTAATGTTTCAATAAAACGTTGAAAATTTTTGCTGTACCTATTGTCATATATTTTATTAGTTCAACTACTGCTCTCGGAGTGTTCAACTACTGCGGATTGTCAGAATTGATTATTCAACTACTACTCTTTTCATAGTCTATCTTAAAAACGTTGTCAAAATATAAATATTTACTTATCCGCGTTATATTGCGCTTCAATTAATTCAAAATTGTTTATATTTTCATGAAAATCACTAATTTGAACTAATAATTACATCTTTGTATATTAAAAGTAGGGTCAAATACGTTTTACTTTGAAACCTGTTTAACTACTGGGTACTTTATCTTAGTATTTTCTGTCTTATCAATGAAAAATGAGTACTTAATTAAAGCTAAGCCAAACACTGAAAGCTATTTAGATGCAGACTGACAGTAGATGCTGGCTTTTTAACTTTTGCAGTCACTATTTGCTACCAATCTGCGCCTAACACTGACACCAAACTGCGTTAGCAGATTGGCGTTAATCTAACAGTATCATTTGAAAAGTCTGGACCTGCAGTCAACTAGACTTCCGATTGACACCAATCATTGGATAGCAATTTCTGTACTGCAATTTCTGCACAGCAAAGACCTAGGCATCGTTATGGACTATAAACTCACGTTTTCGAAGCTCATGGACAAGATGACTTCCAAGGCTTTCAAGGTAATGGGATTTATCCTAAGGTATGGAAGAGATTTTAATAACCCTAGGGCGTTGATCAGTCTATTCCAATCGCTAGTCCTTCCTATATTGGATTATGGTTCTGTAATCTGGAGTCCCTTCACCAACGCCTCGATAATCAAAGTGGAAAAAGTCCAACATAAAGTTTGCAAAACTCTAGCATACAGATTATCGTCTCCCAGTCGCTTCGTCTCCACTGACGAAGCCTATAAATACTACAAAATCTTTCAACTTTATGCCCGTCGACAGGTCGCTGACCTTGCTTTCTTTTACAAAGTGATGAATGGAATTATTGGTGCTCCTGACATACTAAGTTTACTCGAGTTCGCTCCAGCGGGTCTAACTCTAAGGCGCGATTACTGGAAACATCCAAATCTAAAAAGAACTACGTAATACACGATCCCCTGAATAGACTAGCCACTTCAGTAAATTCCCTTCAGGGTGAAATTGAGTTCTACGGAGGTTCATTCGGCGCATTCATCAACAACACCAAAAGACATCTACTGATCATACCAGAACACAAATAAATACAATCAATCCTTTTATTAACTTCTGCCTTCTTCCCACCTAGTACTTGCAAGTTTACTTTAGATTTTCAAAATTGTTATTTTATCTGTCCTCCTCACCATCATGCAACAAAATATTATTTGATTAAATTTATCTGATAAATTTAATATTATATCCTTCATGTATATTGCCGCGTGGCGCAAATAAATAAATAAATAAATAAATAAATAAATTTTGGTTATTGGAAAGATAGAATATTATATAAAAATGAGAACTTTTACCTTATCGACTGCAAATTTTCCGCGCTTATTGGTAAATCCAAGTACCATAAGATGCTGACTTAATACATCAAAAGGCACAACAATGGTTTGTGCAACAGTACTTGCCGCACCTCCACCAATTAATGCTTTTATTCTTGAATCTAGACCCGTTGTAAGTGGATCTTGATTTAGAATATGCCTTACACCCTCGTAAGTTGACACGTAGAATACCCCTGATACTATTTGAATTGAACTTATCCAGAAGCCTCGATACAAACCAGCTAGTCCTTCCATTCGATAAATTTTTTGATAGGCGTCTATCATACCTACGAGACCAATTGTCTCATGATAAATAATTGTAACTACTTTTTTTATGTAAACTAAATAAATATATACCTGTATACATATGATTTCTTCGTTGAATTTGTAACCGTGTTTTTATGACAGTCAATGGATAAAGGCAGCACCGTATTGAGAAAGATGACAGCATACTCAGGGGAAAAAATTTCGTTTTGTCCATCATGTCCCACTCGATTGTTTTTATAAACGGTGGCGCTTCTATTGCAGACATCTTCGAAATTTTTTCGACTATACTGTTTCGATTGTTGATTCTTGTACAATTCTAATTTAATATTTGTCAGAAATTTTGGTGTTAATGAAGTCCTATTATTTTCGTTGAGCAAATACGAAGCTTCACAAAGCCTAAACCGGCACATTTCACAATTTATTGTCGTTGGGCATTACTACCCTCCTGTCAAGTGTTGAAGCCTAAAAAAATATGTTATTAAGAGTATTTTAATAAAAAATTGCGATGATTGTTAGGAAATTGGGACCACTCTATTTTTGGGTAAAATTGAAAGATAGGAATTTTTTTTTTTTATTTTTTTTTCGTGTCATTCATGATAAAAATCACTAAAATTGTTAAAAACAAAATTTTTTGAATGACACTGAAATCAGCAGACATCTTAAAATTTTTTTTTAAGAATATATTAATACTAAGAAAATAATTCAACTACTGTTAATATTTTGCTATAAAAAGAAAATGTAACATGAACCAATTTATATAATTAATATTCTGATTTATATCTTGATCTATGTCTTCAAAATATTTATACACTAATGAATTATCTATATGTATTAAATAAGGACTAGTGCCTACTACTATTATTTCATGTAGAACTTTTTCCTTGTTCTTCTTGTTAAATTTACAATTACGATATAAATGAAATATTCAATCTCTTACGTGCACTTTAATGAAATTACCATCTATATGCTGCCATTCGGCCAATGCCTTGGCATCAAATTGATTTAAATAAATAAATAAATAAATTTTCATAAGTTACATCAATAATTTTTTAGAATTTTTACGTGTGAAATTGTTTGTTAATTTTATCTATTATAATTTATTCGTGAAAAAATATAAAAATTATAAGATGCCTGTTAATTTTAGTATCATATTTTTGGAGTATAAAATTTATCCAAATAATAATATTGGTTTCTACTAATTTTTTTTTGTATTCTAAATGTGAAAGTAAACAATTAAAAAATAATAATTATTACTATTCAAATATTTTTTTGTTTTATGTTTAATGACACTTAATTTAGCAGATCCTTGCCATTTTTTTATTTAATAAACTAAGTCTAGAAAATTATTTTTAAAAAATTTCATTCATAATTTTTTTAGAGCTTCTCACTATTGATTTTTGAAAATCAATTTTCCTTGTTATAAATTATTTGTTAAAAAAATTATAAAAATTATCAGATGTCTCAATTTCAGTATCATAATTTTTACAGAAATGTATCCATTAAAAATTGGAATTTAAAAAATTTTTTTTTCAAATTATTCTTGATGAACTTAAAAAAAAAAAAAAATAAAATAAACGAATGTTAAAAAAATTACTCATGATTTCATTACCAGAAATAAAGTAATCCCAACTTCGAAAAAATTACCAAAACATGTCAATTCCACACATCTTACTTTAAAAATCACCTAAAACTATATTACGAGTTAAAAGAATTAAATTTGAAATATATTTCCACAGAAGGTATTTTATATTATTATTAACAAAAGTTGTTTTGATTTTTCTTCAAAACATTGATTAACTTATAAATACTTTCCAAAAATAAAATAATTAATATTTTAAGTAGATTAAATGAGGTTAACTTACAATGATGTAATCGAGTGACTGATTGAAGCAGACAAGAGATGATAAAACTTTTTAAGTTTTCATAAATAATCTAATTATTTAAAACAACTTATAGAATGTTTTATGTAGTTCTAGATTATTTACAACAGCCGCTTTTCAATTGTATTATGATGGAATGTAAACGTGTTTTTATTCCAAACCTAATAAATAAAAAATTAATTTATTTAATTTAATCCATTAACGAAATGAGTATCGAACAATAAAATCATAGCAGTTTTAATAATAGTGGATGTTTGTAATTCTTCAACACTAAACTTATGAAATCAAATTGCAAAATATAATTGGAGTGCAAAACAATTATCTAAGTGCTTTGATTTGTTTTCGAAGCTCAATTGTATTAAATAATAAACATTATAATTTTAAAACATAAATCATTGTACACATTTTTGATAATATGTATCTGTAATTTTTTGTAAATTAATTAATCAATAATGAAATAACACTTATTTTTTCTTATCACTTTATTGTATTGGCTATGTATATATTATATTTATACCTAATCTATATTTATTATTATGCCGAATTTTGATTTGGAATTGGAGTATGAGAGTTGTGACTTGTGACAGATAATCAGCGCTCTGTAACGACGGTGTTTTTAAAGCGCCGCGTAGTGTGAAAAAGAAGAAACATTATGCGCGGTAAAAACTTTTTGAATTCAAGTGTAAACTTGTTAATTAATGAAAATTAAGTCAGGTGACTGATTAAGTCAGCTCAAAGAGCTCAAAAGTATAGAAAGACTATCTCTTTGAGCTCGGAGAGCTCAAAATAACTCATAAATTGTATTTTTGAGCTCGAAGAGCTCAAAAACATTATAAGTGCAATTTTAAGCGCCTAGGTATGAAATTAGCAGGAAGTTGCAGGGATGGCCTTTGTTATAATGATTCTAATAACTGTCAGGTGTCTGCTAATTTCAGTATTATAAAAAATACGCAAAATTAAATGATGGGCTAAATTTCAGATAAATTTTCAATCAGTATATGTAGATACAGACAAAATTCTAAACAGTAAATTGAAGAAAATTTTAAAGATAAAAAAAAATAATTTTATAGACTGTCAATTCTTTTTTTTTCTCATATTCAATTGTTTAAATTTAATTTTACAAATAATTCAAGTGACTATACACAACTGTTAATTGGTGTTAATATAGAATTGAACGATCGATTTATAAAGAAAAAATTAATTAAAAATCTGCATTACTGTATAAAAAGTTGTTTTTAAATATAATTTTCGAAAATGTTGTTTCTAATTTTTAAAATATAAATTCCTAAGATGTGAATAAGGTTTCAAGACATTAAATGAAATTATTTCGATTAAATAATCGTCAATTCTGAAAATTAATTCCAACAATTCATTAAAGTCACTCATTGAAGTCTTTTTTCGTCGTCATGCAGGGCAAAAAAATTAAAGTTGAAGAATTTCATTATTATACTGATGATATTAAAAAAAAATTAGGAAAACGGTTGACTTTGAAGGCCATCCCTGCAACTTCCCGCCAATTCTATACCTAAACGTTTGAAAATGCAGTTATGACGTTTTTGAGCTCTTCGAGCTCAAAAATACAATTTATGTGTTATTTTGAGCTCTCCGAGCTCAAAATAAATAGGTTTTGAAAGCTTTTGAGCTCTTTGAGCTTAAAAGTTTGATGACACACTATTTTTTGAATTTTCAAATCGCAATAACTTTTGAATGAATGAACCGATTTTCACGCGGTTGGTGGCATTCGACGCAGTTTTTTAAGCTTCATGGAGAATCTTCAAGTTTAAATTGATAAAACGAAAAATTTCGGAGCTCGAAGAGCTCAAAAGCATATAAAAGCTATCTCCTTAAAGCTTGGAGAGATCAAAATAACACATAAATCATAATTTTGAGCTCGAAGAGCTCTAAAACATCATTAGTGCAGTTTTAAGCACCTAGGTATGGAATTAGCGGGAAGTTGCAAGGATGGCCTTCAGGGTCTACCGTTTTTCTAATTTTTTT